TGATGGATCTGTACAAACTTTTAAGGCAAGATTAGTAGCAAAAGGATTTAGACAAAAGGAGGGAATCGATTATTTTGATACTTATGCACCAGTGGCTAGAATTACATCATAAGAGTACTATTGGCATTGGCTTCAATGTTTGATTTGTGTGTACATCAGATGGATGTTAAAACGGCATTTTTGAATGGTGACTTAAATGAAGAGGTGTATATGGATCAACCAGAAGGTTTTGTTCTAGCAGGAAATGAAAAGAAAGTTTGCAAACTAATAAGGTCTTTGTATGGTTTAAAACAAGCACCTAAACAGTGGCATCAAAAGTTTGAATCTGCTATACTCTCTAATGGTTTTAAATATAATAATGCTGATAAGTGCATTTATTCCAAGTTTACTAGAGAGTATGGTGTGATAATCTGTCTATATGTGGATGACATGCTAATTGTTGGTACTAATTACAAAGGCGTTGAAGAAACTAAGAAGTATTTGTCTTCAATATTCAATATGAAAGATCTTGGAGAAGTAGATACTATCTTAGGAATTAAAGTTAAGAAACATAGTGGGGGCTATTCTTTAAGTCAAACTCATTATGTTGAGAAAGTTTTGAACAAGTATCAACATTTGAAGGTAAAAGAAGTAAGCATCCCTTATGATCCTAACTTTAAGTTGTTTGAAAATTCTGGAAAGCCGATTGCTCAATTAGAGTACGCTAGTGCAATTGGTAGCCTAATGTATGCTATGCATTGTACTAGGCCAGATATTTCATATGTAGTTTGTAGACTCGCTAGATACACTAAGAATCCTGGTATAGAGCATTGGAAAGCTATAGGTAGAGTGCTTGGATATCTTAAAAGGACAAAAGATTTAGAGCTTTCCTATAACAAATTTCCAGTTGTACTTGAAGGTTATTCCGATACAAGTTGGGTAACCAGTGTATGTGATAAAGTGTCCACTTCTGGATGGATTTTTATGTTGGGTAGAGGAGCTGTTTCTTGGGCATCAAAGAAACAAATCGTCATAATTCATTCCACCATGGAGGCTGAATTTGTAGCCTTGGCAGCTGCATGCAAAGAGGCCGAATGGCTAAGAAACTTATTGTTAGACATCGAGTTGTGGCCAAAACCGATGCCAGCCATTTCTTTGCATTGTGATAGCGAAGCTACTATGTCTAGAGCGTTAAATAGAATATATAACGGCAAATCTAGACATATAAGTCTAAGACATGAATATGTCAGACAATTATTGAATGATGGCATAGTCACAGTGGTGTATGTTAGATCATTCAATAATTTGGCGGATCCATTCACTAAAGCTCTCTCAAGAGATGTAGTGAAAGCAACGTCATTGGGAATGGGGTTAAAACCCGTCGTCTAAAACCACTAGTAATGGTAACCCAACCTCTCTTCTAGCACTACCACTAGATGAAAGGTTTAAAGGGTAATAACAAGTTACTAATAAGTGGTTGTGAGCACTAGAAATTATATTACACCATTCCAAGGTACTAGTGCAGTTTGTTATGTAAGAGGTTGAGTATCATACTCTTAATGAAGTTAAATATGGTTTCGTAGTGCCTTGGTAATAAAGGCTTGAAATGTACTTCACCTATATGCTCATGGGAGTGGTGCCGCTCCTAACAAAAGTGTGGGTTTTTCTTTTGTAAATGATCATGAACCTAGGATGGAGCACACGGCCGGTAAAAGTGCTAAAATCATTTCGTGAACTATTCTCCGAAAAGGATATAATCTTGTGTGTGCTATTTCTGTTTTAACTTTTAAGTTATGGTTTAAGCAACATAGCCACCATAACTTGTTAGAACAAGTGAAATATTTACACTAAGAGAAGGGTTTAAGTTCACAAACACCTTTCTCTATGCAAGATAATATGAGTGCTGATTTAATTTCATTACAAACTAAGTGGGGGATTGTTGGTAATAGTTTGTAATGAGTATGTTGAGGTTCTTTGTCCCACATTGAAAGTGGATAAAGTGCACAATGTCTATATATGAATCATTGTCTTGTTTCCTTTACAAACTTGTTCCAAAATATTAGTATGGAGGGAAAGTTTGGTGGGAAAGTTATTTCAAGATAAATAAAATCTTGACAAGGGCACTAGGGCACTTGGGGCACCTTGGGGCTCTATGAAAGGGTGTCAATCAGTGGTAGTTAATGGCGGTTATTCTTTTTAGCAGACATATCTGTTAAATTGGTTAACTACCCATACGTCTATTCGATAAGGATTGCATCCTCTGATGGAGTTTTGGACAGGTGCTTCAACTATTTTAAATAGTGGGGTTTCAACAGAATTAAATCACTTTTTACTTTTCATTTTTGATAGTTCTTAAACTTTGTTGTATCCTAGAGGTAATTTGTCTAATAGAAGCAAATAACACCTTAAGGAAAGTGCTTTCACGCCTCAAAGTCTCTGTATTTGTCTAGTATAGTTTCGTTATTTACAGAATTTTTCAACAATATATTCATCATTTATATTTGAATTATTAAATATTTAAATATATAACTTGCAACTTGCAAGCATACGCTCAAGTACATACATAACGTGTGGATTTATATTCACTATTCACTAATTTTGTTTGAACATATAGACAACTAAGATAATACATATGAATTGCACGTCAATATACTACTGTATTATCTTTTACTATTGATAAGAAAAATGTATGTAAGATTCAGATCACGTGTGTGTTTGGATTGCCATTTTTCAAAGAAAAATTGTTACATTTTTTATGAACACATTTTTCAATCATCTGTTTATCTCACATATATCAAATCGTTACAATAATATTTTACAAAAAAAATTCAGAAAAATATAATCCAAACAAGGCGATAGGTACATCATTTTTTACATCATTCATAAAAATTTGTTTTATATTTACTTTACGATCAAAATGAATTACTGATCTTGAAGAAATAAAAGATACTCCATACATCTTGCGTAGCACCAAATCCGTTTCACGTGGCGCGCACACAATAGCCTCCAGAGTAGGAAAATGTATCTGAAAATTGAATGGCATATTCGAACAAAAACCTCGAGTTCTGTAAAGGACAAAAGACCTTTTCGTCTTCTTTCCCATCAGCATCTTTAGACATAAAGTTTTGAAATATTGGGTCTCAGAGTATCTTTCCTATCATTAATCATAAGGAAAAATCGTTCAAAACATCCCTCACATTTTATAAAATGATTTTTTTCATCTCTTACTTTTAAAAGTATAATTTTATATCCCTTATAAATTCACATTGATCAAATTTGGTCCTACCTAGGTTTCCGACTAGTTTATTATCGGAATTCACCACGTGACTTGCATGTGATCATTTTTTAAGGGCAAAATTGTCAAATCAAATTTTTACATAATCTGATTCATAGTTCCTCATATTTCACAAAATAAATTTTTTCGTTCCTAACATTTTACAAAATGAGTTGTTTCGTTCTTCACATTTCAAAAAATGTATTTTTCCATCCCTCACATTTTTCAAAATGAATTTTTTCATCCCTCATTGATCATGTGTATGAATAGCTTTTTTTTCTATAAACCCACGTATATGTCTATTTGATTTTACCTGAACAGTACGAATAACATGTAATTTATCTCTATTGGATTTCATCTAAACATGCTAATTGTAGTTATACACATGCTATTCAATAGATATATATATATATATATATATATATATATATATATATAGGGGTTTTAAACTAATAATTTTATTTGAAACCTATGTATATATTTGTATGATTTCACCATTTGAACCTATTCAATATTTGTGACCTTTCTTTTTTGATAATAATTTATTTATTGAGTTGTATAATAAGGTCATTTAATTAATGGGTCCTAATTTGAATTCTATAATTATGCTAACAAATTTCAGTTTAAATCTGAATTTCTACTCGACACTTTTAAAACTAACAGTTGAATTACTTACATGGTGATTGTTTTAAAATTTTAAAATGCCAATCACTTATTTCTTTTATCATACTTTTCTTTTGTTTATTTTTTGTCCAAATTTAATTTGATATAAACACTCGATAATATTTAGGATTAAATGCCTTCTTTATTTTCAAATTTTGAGTAAAAGAAAATGAATATAAGTGAAAAACTAATAATTTTTTTAAACCCATGTATATATCTATTTGATTTCACTTGAACAGTACGAATAGTATGTAATATATCTCTATTTGATTTCACATGTTATTCATACTGTTCAGGTGAAATCAAATAGATATATACATGGATTTAAAAAAAATTATTCACACACATGATCAATAAAAGATGAAAAAATTCATTTTGAAAAATGTGAAGGATGAAAAAATTCATTTTGTGAAATGTAAGGGACGAAAAAATTTATTTTATGAAATGTGAGGGATTATGAATCGAATTATATCAAATTTGATTTAACAATTTTACCATTAAAATATGATCACGTGCAAGGTACGTGATGAATTCTGATAAAAAAACTAATCGAAACCTAAGTAAGAACCAAATTTGACTAATGCGAATTTGTAAGGGACGTAAAATTATATTTTTAAAAGTGAGAAACGAAAAAAATTATTTTACAAAATATGGGGAACTTTTTGAACGATTTTCCCTAATCAATAAAGTTTGAAATATTGGGTCGTGGTCAATAGCCAGGAAGAGTCCGCTAAAACTTTTCCGCATTTGGTCAGAGTTTTAAGCCTCCCCCTCCACCCCCCTAATCCTTCTTTTGCTAAAACGATTCAGAGTGTACAATGCACTTGTCTGTCTGATTTAAGTGGTTCACTTCCCCTTGTCTGCTTGCCTGTCTAAGTGCAGACAAGTAAGAATAGGAGCAGGTTTCTTAGACTTTCCCTATAGAATAAAGAGGAGGTTAATTAGCTACAGTAAGAGTAAGAGTAAATTAGCTAATTACCGTTGAAGACAAACACAAAAAAAAAAAAAAGAATTTTTGTGTTGTTTGTATAATTCACCGACAGACAATTCTATCCCTACAAGCTGATTGCAACTGATGTCAACGCAATTGGTATTGCTTTGAATCCACTATTGAGTCGATGCTGCGGGGTTGGTGGGCGATTCTAAGACCGAGGCCAAATCCACCCAAATATTAAAACAAAGGCAGCTGCCTGCCCTCCTCACTTTCTACATACCCCCTCAGTCAAAATTTGCAAGTGGCAGACAACACTTCTCTGTTGTTTCTTTTGCTTTGATTCATAGGACTGCCATGGGGAACAGCGGTTGCCGTGGGCGGTCCTGCTGTTGCATTAGGTGGGCTTTCCTTATTGTTTCTGAAAGCATATGCTGATGATCAGAGGAGGAAGTCGTCTTCCAACCTTCCGCTGGTCCCTGGTAACTAATATATGGTCACTCTTTCTTGATATTTCTATGATTCTGCTGAGTTACTAATCCCATATAGTTTCGGACACAGCTTATTGGTTAAAGGGTCTCCGGTCCTCGTCTTAGAAATTAGAATGGTTATTCCTTTTCTTCAACCCGCAATCCCTCCTTCCCTTGTTTGTTCTTCCCCTTTAAAAGTTCTCATTAAGGCTTTGCGTATCTTGAATAGTAGTGATATCTACAGATTGAAACCGAACCCGGGTGAAAGTTTAATTTCTAATGTACTTTTATTACTGGCGTAGAGGTACCGGGGCTACCGTTGATTGGGAATTTGCTGCAGCTGAAGGAGAAAAAGCCCCACAGGACTTTTGCTAGATGGGCTGAGACTTGCGGACTATCCAAACTGGTGCCAACAAAATTGTTGTCCTCAACTCTAATGATGTTGCTAAGGAGGTATGCATATTCTCTCTTTCGCTTACAACCATTCAACAGCAAACAATACTGGTTAGTCCTGGATAATGACCTTTTGACTGCAGCTACTGTTTCAATAATGAAAAGGTAAGAGATACAAAATGTGACAATTTAAAGCTTCAGAGTAAGTGGCCTTGGTTCTAGGAACACTGCTACTCAATTTGAACATTAGATGAGAGGGCAATTTATGGTTTATTATGCAGGACGATGAATTGGAATGCTCCCAATTTAGGGGAATTGTCACTAACAGGATAGCCTCAAAAGTTTCTGAAAAAAAAAAGTTGAAAAATGTTCGCCTGTCATCTTTGTGTTAAGATAAGTAAGTGCAGAAATTTGAGTGACTAGCACTATGGTTTGCTCTTTTTTCCGACTTTTTCCGTAATTATTGCTTCCCGTCAGAGGAAAATCACATGCAAATTTGATTCCACTATTCTTAATGAAAGTTGATATACATGGAATGATTGGTTGTAAAAGCTAATTTTTAAAGCAGAATGGTGTTGTCTGAGTTAGCCAACCATGAATCTGGTATTTCAAGAAGTGGAAAATGTTGTAGACGTACTCTAATAAATGCCACTCCCATGACCTAATGGACTGCCTTTTTTTTTTTTTTTTTTTTTATGACATTTGGACAATGGGGCTAAGAAGATTGGTCTACCTAGTATATCACTTTCCCCTTAATATTTGTTTACATGACATACAAGATGAGTAGCATCCTGTCCATGATAGTTTTTTGTCATGGAATGAGTAGTATTTTGTCGCTTGTGATTTAGAATTTTCAGCTTTCTCTACCTGTCTGGATTACAATTTCTTCCACCAAAACTAAGGGCCCGTTTGGATGGTGAGTTTTTTGAGTGTTCATATAAAATTTTTTGAGTTGTGTATTTTAAAAACTTAGGAGACTTTTTTGAGGCTATTATAGCTAAAGTTATTAAAAAACTTGAAGGGAAAAAAATCACCAAAAAACCCATGTGCCAAGTAGGCCCTAAGATTTGTCAAGGTTGTTGAGAGAGACACACATCCTATTTGCTTGACTGAAATCGTTTTGGCTTCAGCGTCCCTCTTCTAACCTGGTTTCTGTTCTGGAAATATAGCATAGTTTTGAGGAAGTTCTATTTCACACAATAAGTGCACAGAATAATTTTCAAATGCATTCTAAACTGTCGCATTATCACAATGATGATAATAGTAACCTTCTCATGCGTTATGTTCCTATGTGGATGTGCATCTTAAACTGGCATGTCGAAAATCACATGAACCACAGAGCAGGCTTGTTAATATTGGTGTAGTCGTTTTGTCCATTTTAAAAGGAAAAGTCTAAAGTAACGAAAGTTATGGTAACGAAACTGTTTTTACCTGATATAACAGGTAAAAACACTTTTAGGTACCATTTAATTACCTGTTGTACTGGTCATCTAAATAAAATAGTACCTAAAAATATGGTTAGTAAGTTTTACATTCAAAATAGTAAGTTAACTCAAGAAATTAGTAACTTTTATGTCTCAAAAAGTAAATTTGAAGAAATATGGAACTTACTTTTTTTTTTGAAGTAAATAACTACTCTATATCTAAAACTTACTTTTTGGAGAGTAAGTTTAGTTCAAATAATAGTAAGTTTTTATAGACTAATAGTAAATATTGTTGATAGAATAGTAAATTTGGTTAATCATCAAAACTTACTAGTTTATGGCATAAATTTACTATTTTACTTAAAGAAACTTATATGGAACAAGTATTAGGAAGTTTATTTGAAATAATGCTAAGATTTTTTATTAATAATTGAAACTTAGTATTATGGTTAGTAATTACTCGTAATGTAAATGTATGATACATAATTGTACGTATCATTTATAAATGTTATATGTTTTAAGCATTTTAAATAAACTATGAAAACTTTTTTTTTTGCATATGACCTTATAAAATATGTAAGAATAATTTGTCATATTATAAATTTTGAATTATTTTTGAATTTGTGAAAGGTTAAAAAGTTTGGATGACAGTAAAACAAAATCTTTCGAGTTACATATAGAATTGCACTTATCTATACATCACAATTTCCATAAATGGACACCGATGAATATAATAAAATGGTACGCAATTTTCATATATTAATGCCTATGAATTTAATAAAATGGTAAAATCTTAAATAAATTTATTTTCTGGGTCACAAGTAAAAAAATTAAAGCTGTATTAACATAGCATAATCTTTGAAAATTATAGTAAAATTACCCATATGTTAAGTTCTGTGACTTTCAAATATACTTTGTATCATTTACATTATGGATTTGTATCCATATATTTTCTATCAAACTCTTTTTTTATTGACAAATGGTAAGTAAATTATTATAAAAGGGCATTTTATAATAATCATAATTTTTAATAGATGAATTTTATGTAAACTGTTAAAATTATGAATTCACAAATGACTAAATCTGATTACTTTATGGCACATATTAGTCTAAATGACTAAAAAATTACTGCAGCTTTCTGAATTTTAAAATAGAAAAATAGGTCATAAAGCAAATAAATGTAATTTAAAAGAAAAGATTAATGAAATCTGTGCAGATGAAGAAGAAATTAAAAATAAATTAATAAATTTATTAATAAACAATAAAGACCAAAGTTCAGAAGATGACTTTTATAATGATATAACTAGTTCAGAAAGCGAAGAAAGTTGTAATTGTTCCAATACTTCAAAATATATAAATGACTAAAAAAGAAGATAAAGAATTTCTATTAGATATAATAGAAAAATTAATGACCCAATAGCAAAAAGGGAATATTTAGAAAGACTTAAAAGCTTAATTATTCAAGAAGATAAAATGCCAAAAATAATAGAACCTTTTAGCATTTCAAAATTAATAGAAAAATATCCTAATATAAATATAATGAAAAAAGAAACAACTAAAGATCTTCAAACAGAAATTAACAATCTTAAAATACAAGTAAAACAATTACAGCAAGAAATTATAGAATTAAAAACAAAAGATTTAGAAATAGAAGCAAAAATAACATTAATAGAAAATCAGCCCTCGACTTCTAATAGTAAAACAGAAGAAATAATAATATCACAAAAACCATTAGATGAAATTCAATATTTAAATACAATAGAAAAAATGACATTTCAAAAATGGTATGCTTTAGTAACTATTACAGTAGAAGATTTCAAAGAAACACATATAGCTTTAATAGACAGTGGAGCCGATTCAAGTTGTATTAAGGAAGGAATAATTCCTACTAAATATTGTGAAAGAACAAATGAAACATTAATGGCAGCAAATGGAAAAATTTACAAGTAAAATATAAATTTACAAAAGGATCAATATGTAATAATGAATATTGTATTAGACATAATTTTATAATTGTAAAAAATATAAATCATGATATAATATTAGGAACACCTTTTTTAATTCAAATTTACCCATTTGCAGGAAACCATGAAGGAATTTCAATAAATATAATGGGAAAAACTGTTATTTTTAAATTTCTAACTCCAATAAGACAAAGAGAATTACAGATATTACAAACATCTTCTATTTATAAAACAATAAATACTATTACTAAAGTACAGCAACATATAAACTATATCAAAGAAGAAAAATCTTATTTAAAGATGGAAGAAAAATTAAAAGAAAGTAAAATGATAAAAAGAATTTCAGAATTAGAGGAACTATTACAAAAAGAAATTTGTGCAGATATTCCTAATGCTTTTTGGGATAGAAAACAACATATGATAGAATTACTTATGAAACAAGTTTTAATGAAAAAAACATACCAACTAAAGCAAGACCAATACAAATGAATGAATTCTGATTTATTAGAATTTTGTAAAAAAGAAATAAAGACGTTATTAGATAAAGGATTAATAACACCTTCAAAATCACCTTGGAGCTGTGCTGCATTTTATGTAATGAATCAAGCTGAAAAGGAAAGATGAGTTCCAAGATTAGTTATAAACTATAAACCTTTAAACAAAGTTTTACAATGGATTAGATATCCAATTCCTAATAAAAAAGATTTGCTCAATCGATTATTTAATGCAAAAATATTTTCAAATTTTGATTTAAAATCAGGATATTGGCAAATAATAACACCAAAAGATAGGTACAAAACAGCATTCACAACACCTTTTGGACATTATGAATGGAAAGTAATGCCATTTGGATTAAAAAATGTACCATCAGAATTTCAAATATAATGAATGATATTTTTAATCCTTATAGTTCATTCAGCATAGTATATATAGATGATGTATTAATATTTTCTGAATCAATAGAACAACATTTTAAACATTTAAATATATTTTTAAAAATAGTCAAGAAAAATGGATTAGTGGTTTCTGCCCCAAAAATGAAATTATTTCAAACAAAGATAAGATTTTTAGGACATGATATATATCAAGGAACAATAAAACCAATTAATAGAGCTTTGGAATTTGCAACTAAATTTCCAGATGAAATAAAGATAAAAATCAATTACAAAGGTTTTTAGGATGCTTAAATATATAGCAGATTTTTTCCCAAATTAAGACAAGAATGTTCTATATTATATAATAGATTAAAGAAAACCCGAAACCTTGGACAGAAGAACATACTCAAAAAATAAAATATCTAAAAGAAAAAATTAAATCATTACCATGTTTATGTTTACCACATCCTAAAGCATTCATGATAATTGAAACAGATGCATCAGAATTAGGATATGGAGGAATATTAAAACAAAGAATAGAAGAATCAAAAGAAGAATTAGTTAGATTTCATTCAGGAACATGGTCCGACCCTCAAAAGAATTATTCAACCATTAAAAAGGAAATTTTGTCAATAGTTTTATGCATATCAAAATTCCAAAATGATCTTATAATAAAAAATTTTTGATTAGAATAGATTGTAAATCTGCAAAGAAATTTTGCAAAAAGATGTTCAGAATATAGTTTCAAAACAAATATTTGCTAGATGGCAAGCTATTTTATCTGTTTTCGATTTTGA